CTGGTGGTGGTGGCAAGGATTGGAAATAGTCTTGACCTAAGCTTAAATCTACCACTAAGTTGTTGGGGTTTTTTTGTGTCAGTTTTTGAGCAGTTTGCTCTCTAACTTGTATGTTGTATAGGACCTTGACCAAATGATGAATCAGCCTAACAAAACCTGGTTTACTGTGGCCCTTCTTTAGAAGAACATAGAAGTTATCACACAGTAGATGTGAACTGTGTTTTTTGTCCTGAAGCCTGAAAGACCTTTTTGCTCTAGTACCATTTTGTGTCAAGAAGCTTCAGCAGCAAACCTATCCTTTCTTCTCCTGAAAATGTCCTCAGTGAAAATATGGTGGCTTATGGACTTTCACTGATACTAGATTGTAACGTTTCATTTTGAAAACTGTGTGCCTTCTGCCTCTCATGAACTGTTAAAATAGATGTTTCTGGCAGTGACTCCAAATGCATAGATGAAGAAAATATTATGTATGTGTCACAAGTTGGGAATCAGCCCAGGTGGAAAGATAGAGCACTGCAAAAATGCAACCAAATTGGAGGGCTAGTTCCAGTAGTGCCATTTGGATTGATTTGGACAAACATGCATGGCATTTGTTATAATGACCTGAGTGCTTCCAGATAGGTTGCCAGTTTCTGACTTCCAGGATATGAGCTTTTCTTCCAGAATTTTCTCTAGAAAAGCAAAACAGGAGTTTCTTTCATTTGAAAAGAATCAAATGTTCTAGGAGTTCTTGTAGAAGATGTAGTCAGACTGTAGGTGAAACAAAAGCAGGAACATCTGCATTGCAGAACACCATTCTTACCTAGAAGTTGTTCAGACTCTAGGTCTTTGATAAGAATAGCGTGTTTGCTACTTCTCCAGAAAGCTGCAGAGTGGAAGCATTAAAAGCACTGTAGGTAGTATTCTGAACTGATCTCTGAGGATGTAGACTGTTCCTTTCTGTCCCATCCCCCCACCATCTTTTGTGGAAATGGTTTTGATTTCTGTGTTTGGAAATTAAGTAGACATATTTCCTTCTGTTTCATAGTTTCAGCATAATGTAGGATGCCATGCTGTTGGCTTGGGGGTTTGGTGTTGACTTTTTTTTTTCTTTTTCTTTTTTTTTTTTTTTTGGTGGGTTGTTTTTGGCTTTTTGGGGGTGGTGGTTTTTTGTGTGTGTTTTGGTTTGAGGTTTTGGTTTGTTTGTTTGGGTTTTTTTTGCCCCCATTTTTAAGGATCAGACTCCCCAGAAGCTGAAACAAACCAGCCTTTTGTTTCCCTGGGACCAGTAAAAAAGGCACTGGCATCTTTCTGAAGGCAAGTAATTTTGCTGTATGTGTTTCCTTTAGAAAGCGATCAAGAACTGATGAGATCAAGCTTTTCAGTTTCAAAAGGGAATTAACAGTGAATGCAGACTATAAAAGATGATGAATATGCAGTTTTCAGTGATTTGCTGATTGGAACAAGCTCGTGTGAATCACTAGTGTTTGTGGAGTTACTTTTTTTTTTTTAAACAGGCCGTAAAAACTGCACTGTAGTGTGCTTTGTTTGGATACTAAGGAATCTGGAAATTATTGTAAAAGTTAAGACACTTCTTCCCCACTGCCCCATGTTACTGTGTATTTTAATCCCATCGTTTCATTGTTGATCAGCACTGGTTGTCTCTCTTGCATAATGGTTTTCCAGTATAAGTTTTATTTGCGTAACTATTTTGACCAAAACTTCCATGGTTATCAGCCTTTATGCAGAGGAATAGAAAACAGCATGGAGTGACTGCTGTGTGTTTTGCAAGAAAATTGTTTGTTATTTATAGTAACGACCACTTATTGTCATGGTATTTTCCAAATAGCACAAGTCCTGCTTATTCAAGCTTTGTGTATTGTAGCTGCTGAGTTCAACAGCATATTTTAATACTATGTTACTACATGCAAAGGAATATTCTCAATATTTTTATCAAGTGAAACAGCCTGTTTTCTCCATTTCTTCCTATCTGGTGTACGTATTTCATTCTTTGAGATTTTTTTTCTTCATGTCATGAGATAGAGGACATTAAATTCTCCATTTCCCCGTATCTCTTCAAGTGACTAGGTTCTAATTTACATATATATTTTGTACGTGTATTTTATATTTTTTGTATGTAAAATATGTGTATTTTACATATTTTTAGTGGAGACAAAATGATTTCTGTTTGATACAAATTGCTTGTACTGGGGGAGAAGGAAAATTGACTCATTTAATGACAAGTGTCTTCCACCTTCTCAGAGGTAGACACTCTTGGCCCTGCCCTTTATGGTATTCCACATGAGTGATGAGCAAGCATGCCACTAGCCTTAAGTTCAGAACAAGCTGAGCAACCAAAATAATGAAGCAGCCTTGTCCCCAGCTTCAGCACTGGGTTTGTGCTTGAGTGTTCCTCCACTTCTCCAGCTTCCTCCTTGACCCTCTGCCAGTAGAGAGTTCGTGTTATGGTGGAGGTAAGCCTGTGCTGGCTGCCACATGGGCTAGCTAAAGGTCTGAGGTATATCTACCTTTCTTTCTCAGCTGGGGACACTAAGTTAGAACCATGTCCTTTGTGTAGCTACTTTTTCCATACAAAGTGTAGGAAATTCTCTCAAAACTCTTTTTCTCTGTAAGACTTGAATTAAATGAGCTTACCTCTTGGTTTCAGTGTTACTGTAGAGAGAGCAACAAGCCAACAGATATTGCCCACTCAAGTGGGAAATACCAATATTCACATGAGCAAGGGATGAAAAGAGATTAGTAAAAGATCATCAGGTAAGATCACTTACTTAGTATACACTCACAACAGTAAGTCAGAAGTGGTTTGCAAGGGACATACTTGAATTTTTCCCCTATCATCTTTTTAAAAAAAGAAAGAAAGCATGAAGGATTGATCTGCCCTATAGTAATTCATTGTTCAAACATTAGATCTGTTAAGGGATTTCTGTAGGTGTAACTTGTGAAGAGTGTCTTAATAATTATAGCTCAGGAAGAAGTATCCTGCAGGATTCTGTTAGTTTACCTGCAGCTGTTACTGGATGAAGGACCTGTTTGTAGGACCAGTGACTAGACGCCAAGTTCCTCATGTGCAATCCAATAAGCAGGTCAGGGGCAGAAAGAAGAGAAAGAAGCCCTCCTTCCTTGGCAGAAAGCCATGCCTGGATGTTCTAAGATGTGTAGGTAGAGCAGTCTTCCTTTACCCTCCACCTTTGCAGGAGGACCTCTCCTGCTCTACTGTTTGCACTGAAGAGATGGTTGGAGATAGGTCTGTGATTGCAGTGTGGCAACACTGGCTGCCTGTCTGGGGAGGAAGAGGTTAACCTTCAGGGAAACTTGGGAAGGGAGCAGGTCCCAAAGTCCGTATTTCCTGGCTCCATGGCTGCTCAGGTTAGACTGTTCTGCAGAACTAAGTCAAAGGTAGTGTGGGAAACCATGAATCTTTAGAAATTACTCTCTTGCTGTCATGTTTATCTTGTGTAACCATGTTTAAAAACACTGCAGGCTGATCAAAAATTCTTTCAGTGTTGTAAGCTGATGCAAACTACATATGTTACTTTCTAGAGCAAATTACCTTTAAATATTTAAGTTCTTTTTCTAACCAAAAGCCTTGTCATTACCTTTATACAGTTTGAAGACTAAAAATATAAACTTCATTTATTTCCTTTCATATAAGTTTAATATCTAATTTCAGAGTAAGCATTATCATTCTTAGTATTGACATTTGTCATGTTTACCAGCTATAGCAGGTTAAATGTCATGTGTGTTATGATAGCTTTCTTCTCTAAATAATTAGATCACTCTGTGATTTATGATATCTTCCCTTTATTATATATCATCATAGGGTTTGGAGTAAAATATCAGAACATCATGAATTATTTCCTTTACCTCAACTTTGCACTTCTATATCAACTGGATTTTTTTAAAGTAAAAGATTGAATTCCATGAACACACATTTCTTTACAGTGTAGGTGTAGATAGTCTTAGCTGAAGAGGGTGACAGTGATATATGGAGCATTGAAAGGAGTACAGGGGATGCAAAGTATCCTTGAGAGAGAGACTATGAAGTCATCTCCTTGGCTCTCCACAATTCATGGGCTCTCTGGCTTATCTGCTTGCTTGTATTGTAAGAATTGCCTGCCTGGTTTGGGGTCTCCCAATGCTGTTTCCATTTTTCTCTATAAAGTCAGTCAATCTCTTTATACAGTTAGAGGAACTGTGAGTCTGTCTGTTAAGCAAGATGTCTTACATAACTTTGCTAAGAAACATTTCTTCTGTCTCTGCTCTGTTTCAGTTCTTATGCTTTCCTATAACTCTGTTAGTGACATCTTTTCCACTTTTAACACCTTTCTTAGATGAGCATGGTGCTTTCAGAATATCTTTGTTTTCTGAAATTTGTGTACATAACAAGGTCTTAAAATCATGTATTGTTTAAAGAAAAAATAAGCCAAATCCCCCTGTATTAGTCCTGCTCTAGATGCTATCAAACACTTCAGATAGCAGCCTTTGTGGATGATGAAGTGTGTGTTGCTTGGAGCAGTGAAATATGATCAAGTAGACTAACACAGGAATGAAAGCTGAACTTTTTCAGTGTTATTTAAGTCTTATGTTAAAGAATCTCTCATCTATGTTATGAAATCTGTTTTTTGTTGGTCTGTTCTGTGAGGTGTAAGTAATTTGTAAGGTGTCTCAGGAAGCTTGATAAGTATCTGTTACGGAATGGCAAATTATGATTTTTTTTTTTTTTTTTTTTTTTGAAATGATGATTACAAGTCTAGCCAGGATGAAGCAGTGAATAAGTTGATTAGAAAACCTTGTTTCTTAAAATACTGTTTTCTAACTAGCTCTTGTAAAGTATTTATCTTACTTGAAAAACATGCTGTGCGAGACGAGAGTATATTACCATTACTGTTTCACCTTCCCTAGTATCTCGGGAGCTTTCATTCCTGTAAAACCAGTAGGGAAGTTGGCCAGTTTGGTTTTGTGATCTGCTAAAAGCCATCTTTCCCCCCCCCCTTTTTGCAGGTGAGATTAGTTTGGGGATGTGAATACAATGAGTGTAAACCAGCAAGCTCACACAGGGCCTCCTTACGGGCGACCTCAGCCTGGATATCAGGGATACCAGCAGCCTGCCTACGGAGGACAGCCATTGCCAGGGGTTCCTCAATTGCAATATGGAGCTTATAATGGTCCGATGCCAGGATATCAACAGCCAGCACCTCCACAAGGTACTTTTCAGCCAAAACTTAATGATTGATAACTTGTGAATTGTTGTGTGCATGGAATTTTTTCTGTATACTTCCTATTGTTACTCTTTATTTTGTGGTAGCAATTTTTTTCCTTCTGTATATAGCTTACATGATGTTAAAATTCATGTTCTTCCTGTACATTATGAGGTTACTGTTTTGTCATTTGTCCACTTCTTTCACACTTCTTTTAATAGCTCATAAAATTAACATGTTGAGAAGCATAGCCTGCTTTTTTTTTCTGTATGTCCCTGCCCCCATGATACTGAAGCACCTGACTAGGACAATCTTCCTGATGAGGTTATGTTGAGGGGCAGCAGGTAGGGACTGTAACAGATTTATAATTGAGACTCCCTTACATTATTATTAAGAAAGTTCTGCATGCCATCCTGAAAGATTTAGACATACAACTCTAGACAGAAAGCATATTGGGAGCTGTTTTCTGTAATGCGTTTAAAATCAATAGAAAGTTTGTGGTCATGTGGCAAGCTAATGTGTTCTGGAATTACCCTGGTTCTACAGGGTCATATGGCTTGTTGGTTTTGTTTATTTAAAAACTAAACAACAGCAATAAATAAAAATCCCAAACAACCACAAAATCAAACAAACAAAAGCTACCAAACAAGGTAGTTAAACTTTTGTTCCCTGTTTTCAAAATAAAGGCTAACTTAAAAGTATTAAAGAACTTTTGGAGTCTTTGTTTCCGAGTACCTGCATTGCTTTGGGAGATTCATAGTGACATTAACATCTGAAATGTAGAGGAGAAAATACTATGCTCTGAGTTAGAAATATTTCCACCTTTTAAAATCAGGTGAATGAATTCAAATCTACTAAGATAAGCACAATATATTCACTTTGAAATGTTTGTTTGGACTTCAGATTGGTATTGAGAGGAAATTCAGTAATATGCTCATCACGCTAATGGTCTCTGTATTGTTCTCCCGTCCAAGTACATCTTGAATTTTTTTGTGACTTCTGGAATTTTAAACAAAAATTGGTTTGAAGGATAGAACAATCAAAGTGCCTATAGTTGTCTTGCAAATAACAGAAGTGGGATACTGAAATTTCAGAGCTGAATAATTACCCTCTTGGGTTTTTTTGTCTGAAGTTAGCATGGTAGTGAAGTAGAAGAATTAGCATGGTGTGCTAAAAAATGGATTATTCAGTTGCTCCATCTTCCTTTTCATTCCTTAATCCCCTTCCTCCCCTCCTCTCAATAAATCTCTTACAACAGCACTTTTAATCTATCAGTTGTGAACTAATTTCACAGAGGGTTTAAATTCCTATAAAAGTAATGAAAATCAGCACTGGGAAGAGGAAAAAAACCCTGCCTGCTGGGAAGACAGAGGCAGAGCTCAGCCATTGAGTGCTCTGTTTGGCTGCTCAATTAGGTATTAACTAACTAGTGTTTCCTGTCCCATAGGAGTGGGGAAATACTGGACTTGTTTCAGAGAGGGAGAGAAGGAGATTCAGGAAGGACAAAGATTACTATGGGTTTGTTGGAAAAGTTTCATCAGTGCAGCTATTTATAGAAAGCAGGTTTTGGCTGTTAGCAGTGTGAAGAATGTTTAGGATGTTTGTGAAAAGAAACTGATGAGCACCTTCCATCAGGTACTTCAAGAACTTTCAGGCTTTACAAATCTGAAAAGCATTTCTTTTTAAGGGAATTAACTTTCTTCCTTCTGAATTATTTCTGGTTTTCCTTTTTTAATTTTAGAAGAACAGAAATATGGTCATGACAGCTCAGTAAGAACATACCTAGAAAGCTTGGTATGTGAATTTATGCAGATTAAAAGTGCAGATTTTGTTTGTGCCAGCAATGATTGAAAGGTGTTGTGACACTGAGGGCAGCTAGGTGGTCTCATTTGAACAACAAAAATGTATTGCACTACTCTTAAGCAGTATCTCATGTAGTTTATTGACACATCGGGCTAAGGTCACCCATGGTTTGTGGAGATTTGTGTTCCATCTTTTCTTCTGAGACCATCCTTCCTAGATGTATTAAGGGAATCTCAGTTGTCACATTGCGCATTTTGGACTGTTACTGTAAATCCAGGATTCCTATCTTTAGAAAGAAGGAATGTAAAAATCAGAGCACTAGCACAACAGCCAGAAGTTGACCTGTTAGTAGCTGCTGAATAGAAGAGCCAGGGAGAAGAGAGTGGCAAACAATGCATTATCAAAGAAAGGAGACTGGTGGTACTGAAGATATTGACAGCTATTTTTTCTACTCCCATCTCCAACATATTATGTTTATTGCAGGTCTTTGTAGCAAGACCTGTTGTAGCTCCATATTGTAGAGAAGAGAGAATTATTTTTGGAGGCACTAGAGTGACAGTAATTTAGGGAACACTGGTAAAAGGAAAACTGCCAATGTTAATCTGTGGTCTCTAAGTAGTTGTCTTAGGGATTTATTTTAAAAACAACAAAATAGCTTGGAGGACTGAGTGGAATAAGTGTTGGTAGCAGATGCCATCCTCAGTCAGGGAGTCTTTTGTATGTGATTTATGTGACAAACTCTATCTCTAACCAATGGAAATAACGGGAATTCTGTGCCAGTGATGCTAGTCTTGCTTGGGACCAGAAGTGGAGTACTGTGCTGCTAGCTGAAAATAGCTGCTTCTTTCTGTGAGAAGTCTGGAAGAACCAGGACAATTTTGCACCTTCTTCCTTTGAACAGTTTCCTTCTAATGAGATCATGCAGTTGAAAGTGTAAACACAATTACCTGAATACCAGTCGCAATTAGGATGCTTCTGGACTGTTTTACATGGACTCGGTTTACGATACTTTTAACACTTGTATTAACATTAGTATATGAACTGTGTTGATTATATATGTTATGCTTGGTAGAAGAGTGAGAGGGAGTATAGCTTAAGGAATAATGTGGTAAATGTGATGTGGATTTTATGCATATGGTATGTTGTGCACTGCAGCCTGTCCTTAGCATTGGAAACACTGTCTCTTGGTGCTTTCTCTCAGGCTTGATTCACTGGTGTATTCTGTCTTTCCAGGTTACTTTCCTTCCTTGGGGTTCCCTTCGAAGGGCTCTCCTGTTTCTCTCAACTCTGACTCTTCTTCTCTTCCACCTAATTTCATAGGTAAATGGTGTCTTTTCTGTGAGAGTGCTTGTGCTATGCTGCTGCTTCTGTGCCAAGTTCCCATTTAATATGGATATTTATCTCAAAGGTGTGGATACCTGATTATTCAGGGAAAGGTGGGTGGGACACTTCCCAATCTATTTGCAGGCAGCACTCCAGAGACATAAATAGGATATGAAGAAATAATCCTAGTAGAAATCCTTTATGCCTGCAGATTCATAGATAAAACCTGACTTGCAACTGATGTTTTCTGAAGACTGATTTCAAAACCCCAGTTGGCCTGTTGAGGTTCTGTCAGGGAGAATCCTTAGTTTAAAAGAATGCACTCTCTCACTTGAGGCAGGACTAAAATGTGAGCTTATAAATGACAACATTGCAATGAAGAAATGAAAATTCTCCCCCAGCATCAGGAGGTTGTTACTGAAAGTCATGAGATTTTTGTAACTTGTACTTTCATTTAAGAGTAAAAAGGAGTCTTTAGTCTCCTTGGCTATAGCATAGAAACCAAATATGTGTTAGGAATAATTATGATTTCAAAAGCTGTGGCTTGAATAAAGAAATACTTTTGGAAAACTAGCAAACAAGATGTAAGAATTAGAAACATTGCAAGAAATCATATTGTACTTTTCTGTCTTCCCAACTAGTGGTATTTCAGAAGAGCTATTTCCAGCAGTGTCAATTTGCTTAGAAGAGTAGGGAGTCAGAACTGGGGCAAGACCTGATAGTCTGGGGGCTTCAAGTAAAATCACAGGCATTTCCCATTTTTCTGTAATCTAGCTCCATTTTGAGGTCTTTAATGATTAAGAAGAGTACAGTATCTCAAAGGTGTTGAAGGGGAACTTTGGGATTCTGCAAGAATAATGAATCTTAAGCTAATAAACCGCCAGATACTCATACCTGTTCAAGTGATAATTTTTTTTTTGCAGTGGCTATTTGAGGAGTCTGTGGTAATGGTTACAGAATTAATGCTAGTGACAAGAGCTAGAAAAAGACTTCAGGAGCTTTTACTGAAGTAAATACGTATTTGTCAAATTGTGTATCTGTTAAAGTTGGGGGGGGGGAATTTCATGTAAAAAAATCTGTAGGATCCCACCATGAATTAAATTAAATATGCTTTCAAAGACAAAAGTAACAATGCCAAACAGTTTACAGGTACGATCAAAGGAAAGAGATTCCAAAATAGGTGAAAGTATACAAAATTTACTGAATGGGTATCACAAGAGACATTCAGAAATAGAAATTCCACACAACATACAACTAGTTAAGACATCAGGAAATGCTTAGCTGGAGAAACAGTAAGACAAAGGTGCTGTAACAGTAGTTTAGAAAATGCAGGATTTAATGTGATGAATGTACGTAAGAATAATAAATATCTCTGAAAATAATTAAATCCTGTGTCTCAAAAAGAACAGGAGGAAGTTTAGTAATAAAGAAAAAAGCCGGAAGAATTACTGGTTGTTCATACAAGGTCTAGTTAATTCCTTCGTTGAATTTACATCCCCAAGTTTACTAAGAGTTTACATGTAGCAGATAAGATTAAAATGTATGAATTGAAACCTCATGCTTTGGCATATAAATTATACTGTAGAACTGAGAAATGGGTTCTCTTGCTTCCTATTTCATAATGGTTCCTCACAGGAAGGTTTCATAGTCCCTTTTAAACTTCTCATGCCAGTCAGAGATACAAAACAGTGTGTATGTACTGCCCTGGTCTCATGGGGAAGTTTACATTGTTTAGTTATCTGAATTTAATATACCTCATACATTAAATACGTTCTTCTGTGGTTAGCAGGCATGGTCATACAGTGGTTCTAATTGTCAGCATTTTTAACTTAGCAGTAGTATAAATGGAAGTTTAGAATCTCTTTTTTGGAAGTAGACACTGTGGTTGGTCTGCTGGTATTGTGTCCAGCATTGTGCGGTCTGTGGAGAGTGTGAAGACTTAGTTTCGTGGCAAATACATTTGAGCTGTGACTAAACCAGCTCAGTCTGAAAGACAAAGAAGTATTCATGTTAGACGTCAACCTCGAGAGCTGCGTGAGAACAGTGGTGGCCCCCGTTAATGAGCAGTTAGATGTAATTTTCTGAATCTGCTCACGTAATCTGCTGAGCTTCCAAGTAGGGAAGACTGACCTGTGGTAAACTCTAGGTTCCATGTGAATACTCTCCTTGGTCTGGATAAAAATAATTAGACTTGTCAGTGAGGTATTAAATTCTTCCCCCTCCAAGATAACTTTTTTTTTTTCTTCATCAGAAGGTGAAATTGTTGATTGAAGACCCTCCACAATACATATTTTTCCACTTGGTTTATGTGAAAGTGGTGACTAGTGACACTGGTTAAAAAATTGTGTTTTAGTTTTGCTACTTCTAATATAGTTGTATAAATTATTTGTTGCTCGTTGAGTATCGATACATCAATTTGGCCACTGCTAAACTGTTTCTGCGCTTTTTTATTTCTGGGATTTTTCATGGTTCAAGCCCTTGTTCCTGTGTTGTGATTTTTATTTTTAATTTTATTTTTTTCCCCTTATGTCTGTAGGCTCGTTAAGAGCCCCTTCAACATCTGGAGCTCCCCCTCCAGCCTCTGGAGGATCTCTTCCTTCTGGTCACCTGACGTACAGCCCATTTGGACAGGGAGATGTGCAGAATGGGATTCCAGCCCCAGCAGCCCCAATGCAGAGGTACATACAAGAAAAAGAAATCGTAACAAAGGCCTGCCCTGGTAGACCTATGCTAGGTCTAGACGTTTTAGGATCTAAACCAAACTAAAAACTTTGGTTTCCTGTGGTAGGTGTTGACTTTCTTTATCACTGACTTACTGTTTTAGAACAATGTTTTAGAACAATGTTTTGTCACAGGGGTGTGAAACAGTAAGAATCTCTGTAGATTAAAAACTTCTGGAAAGATATGAGCAGATGTCAGTGGCTGATCAAAACCACTTCTCCTCTAAAGACTTTCTTTGTGGTAGTCATTTTCCCATAAAGAATTTCCTGATTCTCATATTTTGTCTTGTTTTAAAACAATTGCATCCACACAGCCATAGTATTTCATTCTTTGGTGGTGTGAATTGATCTCTGTCTGGAGCATGTTGCTATTTGTCATTACTGAGTAATTCCTTAGTTCTGGATCTGGTTTTGTCCTTTACGGATCCCTGAGTTCGTTACATCATTCATTTAAAGTGCTGGAGCATCTTCTCCAGAAAGATATTGGCATTACCTCTGTGGTGAAAGTGGCAGCAGTCCTCACTGCTTCGTTCCGATTACTGGTTTTGGGGAAGGTGATTGGTTTTTGCTTCCCTCTGCTTAAGCTCAGCACTGTCAGCTGCAGTCTCGAGATCCTTACAGCAACAGAACATTCTTAAATAGCTGTGCAGGCCTTACTGTTGCTCACCTGCCCCTATGGCAGTACTTCTGATTTGTTGTGATAACTAAAATGGAATTAACAAAAACCGCTATAAATGTAGAATTTGTATTTTAAGAATAGATTTTTTTTTTTAATTATTTTTTTTTTAATGAAATGGTTTCAAGTCCATGCAGGATATGTAATTGTTTTCCAAAACTAAGCTGCAGTGCTTCATGTAAATAAGTCAGACCCGGCTAGTGTTTGTAAGGCACAGAGAGTTGTAACTGCTTGTATAATGGAGAATCCAGTGACGTTTCTCGTCTCCCTCCTCAGGCCACCTGCCTCTCAGCCGTATCTGCCAGGCTCAGCACCCATGCCTGTCAGCCAGACACCTACGTTCCAGCAATATGGTCCCCCCGCAGCCAGTGTACAGCAGCTCAGCAATCACATGGCTGGGATGACAATTGGCAGTATTGCAGCCTCTGCTCCTCCCCCAGCTGGACTGGGATATGGTGAGGTTTCCTGGCTACAGAAATATGCTATTGCTTTTCAATTATGCTGGTAATTTCATAAAAGATTTGCTGTTGTCAGTGATTCATTACCATATGGTGATGGGAATTCTCTGGGTGTTGACGTCTGCTGTTCTAAATGGTAATTTCCTTGGCTAGTAAGGCCACCATTGGGGAAAACAGAACTGAGACTATTGTAGAGGATACTGCAGGAATGTTGCAGGACATAAGTAACAAGAGAAAGTAACAGTATTTCTCCTAAACCTAGTTGAATCTTGGTGTGAAGTGCAAATACAGTCTATCCCTATGTAAGCTGTGGGATAGTCTACATGCCTTCTTTCTCTTGTGCAGCTGCCCAGTCAGAACAAAAAAAAAAAAACAACAAAGGAGTTTAAGATACAAACTTAAGTCAGTTCAAAAAATCAGTACACAGACTTGTGGTTCTTGTTTTGCATATTCCTGGCTTTCCCTCTTTTTTTCTGGCCCTGAATTCTGAAATGTATTCTGATTATGTTAAATAAGAAGCTCAGACTTTGAGAGAGGACAGTGAAGGAACTATCAAGTTTCATATCGCTTGGAGGAGTTGCAGTTCTCTGATCAGTTTAGGAGGGGGTTTACTTAAGATTTGTCTCTATTAGTACTGTTGAGTCCCTCTGAAGATGAGAAAGTGGTAGACCTATTTAGATGTTCTAAAGCAAATGAGTTTTGCTTGAGTCTTAATTGTCTTTAGGATAGAAGAAAATGATGTTCTATCTTCTTTTCTTCTTATCAGGTCCCCCAACATCGGTTCCTCCAGTCTCAGGTACAACAGGATCTGGTCTCTACACACCTTACACTGCGAGCCAAGGACCCCCTCCTACCAGCGTGTCTCAGGGTGTTCCTTTGGCACAGCCTCCATTTCCAGGTCAGCCAATACCAACTCAGCACCTACCTACTGAAGTCCCTGGTTTTGCCTCACCTCCCTCTTCTGCAGGGGTTGGACCTTCCTCTTACCCTTCTACCACAGGTGCCCCAAGGCCACCTACCATGCCGGGCCCACCACTGCCTGGGCAGACAGTTGCTGGATCACCAACGTCCCAGCCTAATCATGTATCCTCACCACCACCTCCATCAGCTATGTCAGGGCCACAGCCTGGGCCTCCCATGAGTGGCCTCCATGGACCACCTCCTCCAACTCATCCTCCTCAGCCAGGATACCAAATGCAGCAGAACGGTGAGTATTCCTACTCTAGAAATTGTACATTATATGTGCGCTCTTGTGTGCTGCAAACTGAGAACTGTTTTTCAGGTTTATTACTCATGGGCTTCTGGTGGCACTTCAGTGTTTCCCTGTCTAAAGGACAAATCCAAGATAAACAGTAGGATGTGTCATTCTAAGATACTTGTCATACGGGTTTTAATCAGGTTAATGTAACTAAAGGAATCCTAGCTTACTTGACTAAAAAGTCATTTAGTAGTGAGTGCCATAATACTCTTGTAAGAGTTTGTGATCAGAATTTTATTATGACATTTAATTTGATGTTTGCAACTTCATCTGTTCAAAAGCAGAGATTTGAAATACTGAAAAGCCTTACTATTTATTTTTTTTTTTAATCTGTGGCCAGTGTGCATATACAGTGTGTATGAGAAAGTTGAAAAGGAGTTGCTACTTGTTCTTCATTAATTCACAAAACTGTATTTTTCTCCTTGTAGAACCTTTCACATTTTGTGTGTGTTTAGAAGTAGTATCAGTTAAGCTTTCTGAATTATAAATGGTTTTGGCTGATTTTTAATCAATAACATTTAAAAACAGCTAGGATAAAGTAATCATGTGCAAGTGTCAGGAGAATCCCATCCCCCATGTAGCTTTGCACAACTGGCCAGGTAAATTACTTACAAATATCTGTACAAATTGCTATGAACTGTAGAAACACTAATGCAATATATCGTGGTCTATTCCATAACTGCAAGAAATTGTCTAAAGTAATATGAAATAACTTCAGGTAGTTACAAAACAAAAGAGATAATCACACATTAACCTATTACTGTAATTTCAGACAAGCCAAAACTGCCTGAGAGAACTCCTTGCATACCTTTATTTTGAGGAATTGCGGGTCATCTGCTAGTTTATTTGGCTGTTTCATGTGTACTTTCTATTAGGGAGTTCTACAGTTTAACTTAACTGTTCATAGTGCATGATCTTAATGCATAGTATAATCATATTATTCTAAAACCTGGTGTTTGCTTAAGTGTGGTTTTAAGGAGCATTGTCTCCATCATTTTAGTGGGTCACTGACAGAGATGTACAGGTCTAACAGGAAACGCTATAAGTATGTTTAATCCTAATTAACTGAAAAACGTTACTTTCTTGGGTTTTGACAATGACAGGAAAAGTGGGAAGTGCCAAATAAGGAAATGACTAGTATTAGACACTGTTTGATGTTGCTGTTCCTTTCTTGTAAGGTTCCTTTGGGCAGGTGAGGGGTCCTCAGCCAAGCTATGGAGGAGCCTATCCAGGAACACCAAATTATGGAAGTCAACCCGGACCACCACCTCCACCCAAACGCTTGGATCCAGATTCCATTCCTAGCCCTGTAAGCTTACTTTGTTCTTACCAGTGTGAACTCTTCCATAGTGTTTTTACATAAAACAGAACTGACAAAGACCAAAGCTGAAAACAAGTTTCTCATTCCAAAGAACATCAGTCTGTTTTCCTGCTTGCTTTTCTTTTGTATATCCAGCTTCAGTCTTTTGTTATGAATGAGCCCAGAAGTAATATTTTTCTTGCTGACTAAAGAAATGTGCCGCATATGCAAATCAATGCTCTACTTCCTTGGGTCTTTTTCTGTACTATGTTACGTTTTGAGAATCCTTGAGCGCTTTGATTAAGCTTGTTTCTCCGTTTCTGGATTCTTGATTAATGACTTACCATGGTGAACTAATTTCAGGTTTTGAGGTGACAATCTGTGAACCATATGATCCACCTGTAAAGTCCAGTTAATAGGAGATGACTAGTGTTTTTGCTATAACTTGTCAAAAAACAGGTTATCAGGTTATTTGGTCATTAGGTCATGACACTATTTGAGACAAATATTGGGCGACTTCTCAAACTGGCATTATCTTTCAGGACAGAGGTTTGAGAAAGGACAAGCAGTGATACGTAGTGGTTAGCAATGATGAATAACATTAAGCCTGGCAGTATTATTGCTACTGGTCTACTGTGCCATTTCTTCCACTGTTGCTGATGCTGTTCTGTTATTGGCTCAGAAGGCCACAGTCGTTTGATAATAGGAGACTTTTCCAGGGCAGTGCTTACAGTGTTTGCTTAAAAACTATAAAAATAGTTTAGTCTTGAGTTACATCTTAGATCTGGACTGGTGCTGTTCACAAGTTCTGTATATTCAGAAGTTACTTATATTCAGAAAAGAATATCTCTTTAGACTCGAAGTTTATGTAAAGTTTATGACCATATTTTTTTCACAGAATATAAGAAGTCTTTAATTGGTTGTCTGCTTCTCTTCTCTTCCACTAAATGAGATCTCAAATGGCTTGTGTCAGTTGCCTTCATTTTAGCATGTTCTTAAAACATAAATCCCCAATTTCTAACCAAAATAAGCACATGAGCCACTACCTCTGTTAGCAATGTGTTCAGAGCTCAAGCTCTGGCAAGGCTGGTTTTGGGTACAATGTATGCTGCAGAAGCTGATGTTTCCTGTTGCATGAACCAAATGTATCTAATTCTAGTGCTACAGGTTTGGGTAGAAAGAAGTAACACTGTTACTTTTTAGTTTATTATTCTCTTTTATTCTCTTCTTTTTTTCTTTGTCCTTTTTTTTTTTTTTTTTTTTTTTGTGGCACTCTTTATTTTATCTTTTTTTTAAAAAAGCAACTTAATGAGCTGCCACCCCAGCAGAAACCCAGGCACAGAATAGACCCAGATGCAATTCCTAGTCCAGTAAGTGCTGTGTATGTATGTAATTGTAGTTTGTGTACTGGTGAACATCTGTGCATGCCTGAAACCTGAACTTCACCTCACTAACTAACCATCCATCATTAATCCTTTACCCTTTCCTTGCTGTCTTCTGCTTGCCTTATCAAAATGAGTAACATTACACCACAAGAGATTGTTAAAATCTTCTCTTCTGAGATCAATGGCGAGGCAATAGAAAGCAGAATGTTTCAGAAACAGATCATGAAGAATGCCTCCCCTCCACTTTGTCTGATCTTTAGAATGTCTGCTTCATCAGATTCTAGCTGGCATTTCAGTGTAAGCCATCAGTATAATTGTCCATACAATGTGTGCCTCATTTTAACAGACACACAGCATGAGGCTTTGTAGCAATGTTTTCTACCAGTTTTGAGCAGAATTTGATATTTCATGCTGATGCACCAGTACTGGCCTAATGCCTTGAAGTTCAAAAATTGCAGATGAACTGTTTTGATGTTAATTCGTGATATAAATCTTCTAATAGATTAATATGAGGCATGGGGAACTATAAACATTCTGTCATTATCTGTTCTCATACATAAGTATTAAATTTTGAATTTGAAACTTTAATGCTTATGTGTAGAGAATCTTACCTAAAGAAAGAACAAAGCAGCTACCTTTTGGATTGGAAAGGGGGGAAAAAACCCCACACCACATTTGACTTTGCTACCTTGTATCAATTCTTCCTGATTTAGTCCAATTTGGTCTTATAATAGGTACCAGCATTAATATCACCAACATCAGTCTGTAGACTTTTGAAATGGGACTAGATTCGTTCTAGGGTAGTCACTGATGCTATGGCAGACTTTCTGCTGGCAACTCGGAACCTGTAGTGAGAGGGTAGCAGGTCTGCCATGCAAACTTCTGCATTTCACAGTTTAAGCAAAGGCGTGTGTGTTTGATAAGGCAAAATAAGGTCAGAAGAATGATTGCTAGCTTTAATGCTTTCATTCAAGCACCAGTATGGAAATGTAGTTAAAACTGTGTATAACTACAGTTTTCTGTTCTTTCACAAAGGTCAGTAGATACTTCAGTCAACTAAAATTGTTTAATATGTTCCATTATCTTAAGCATATTTGCATTAATGAAGAATTTGAAATACTAAGAAATTTAAGATTTTTATGGTCTTTGAAGTTAAAGCTTGATTCATTCACAAGTCTCTTGAAACTTCGCTTTTTATGTCCCCAGAGTTCAAACCACAAGCTCTTGAGCACCAGGAAGTAATGAAGACTTCCACCTGAGCTTGCAAGCACCTATCTTTAGATTGGAGTTACAGTGGTTAGAAATAAATGCATACTATGAAAAAGTGGGAACATACAGAAAGGAAAAGACAGTTATCTATAGAACTTCAGGCTTACAGAAGCTTCTAATTTTAATTTGGCTAGGACTGGTATAGAGGGAAATATTGCCAAAAATTCCTTTCTTGATCTGTGTTTGGCTTTTATGAATTCAGATCAGGCCTTAAAACACAAAATGTGCTACTACTCAAAATTCTTGGGGGAAAAGACTACTTACAACTTGTAATTTATTGTTAGTCATTAAGTACTATTTGAAATCAAACTGAGAGGTGACTGCTTGACAAAACTTATTCGCTTTAGACTTCTTATTTTTAGAGATAGTAATGTTTATCTCAGGTCCCTTTTTAATGCCTTATAGATATAAATTTTATATTTTACCACACTTTGAAACCAAGCCTCCAAATATTAATGTTGTGTTTTCCATCATAGATTCAAGTGATTGAAGATGACAGAAATAACTGTGGGTCAGAACCATTTGTCACTGGAGTGAGAGGGCAGGTCCCACCTCTTGTTACTACGGATTTCTTGGTCAAGGATCAAGGTAAACTATTTTTCTTTTCCTAAACAAACAAAACAGAAACCCCAAAGAATCAGTGACGGAACTGTCTGTGTCTTTAAAGGAAAAGTTTGAAGAATTATTTCAGTGGCTGGGGATGTGTTTCTTACCAACAGAAGCTTGATTTCAAGTCTTGTGTTGATTTGATCTCAGTTTACAGCTAGTAACTGATCTGCAAGTAAAAAATGTTTTTCAAGGCAGGTACTTGGGACCAGCACTACCAGGGATATCAGAAAGCAGCAAATTAAGCCTCTTCTGTAGAGCTATATCAACAACAGTTAAGAATTGAAATTTACTAGCAGTATGGTTTGAATTGGACTAGGAACTACATTTTTTTTTTTTAAATTGAGTGGGATGTTGATTATTCCATGGGCTTCACAGAGAGGGGATAGTTCCTTTTTTAATTGCCTATGTTTTGTTTGTTTTGGTTTTTTTTTTATTTAAAGCTCTCTTAAAACTTCAGAATCCAGTTCTACAGTCAAATGCTCTACTCTTCAGCCAAAATTACAAAATTGAAGAGTAGAAATGTTTGAATTGAGTTTCCTGTCTATAGTATGGTTTAGTCTGCAAAAAATGACATGAATGCCTTTTTAGATGTTTAACTTGATGTAAAGTCAAGTTCATTCGTTTTGAGTTATTATATGTAACTAATCATAAAAGGAGCATTTTGTTTGAAATGCAAGTTTTGCGTAGACTGAAATGGATTGCTTAGGTAAGGTCTTACCCTTAGTTGTGTTTTAGCCACAAAGGCTATCTTTGTTTCTGTTCTTGAATATATAAACTTGTACTGAAAGTTGTGGGGTTTTTTCCTTTGTTCCTAAGGTAATGCAAGCCCCCGCTACATAAGATGCACATCTTACAATATTCCCTGCACCTCAGATATGGCCAAACAGTCCCAAGTTCCCCTAGCTGCTGTCATAAAACCGCTGGCTACTCTACGCCCAGAGGAGGTGAGAACATTTGCAGAGTTTCATAGGGACTGTATGCACTTTGAACTCATCAGGAGAATGCTGTTGGATGCCAACTTTAACAGATGTGTTGAGAAGGAATGTTTAGGTAGTGAAGACTAGATAAACACTGATTCTCCCACAAGTGTGTGGTGGAGATCTGTAAGGCAGACAAATGTTGTGTTCAAACTATTTAAGATTTCTATTGGCATGCTAATTTCTGCTTTTTTGCAGAAACTGTCAAGCACTATGACCAAATAACCAGAACACTAGGATGTTTACAAATGTGTACACTCCTGGTTAATCTCAATTTCTTTCTTGACCTAAAGTATTTGAATGGTTACTAATCCTGGTGTTAAGTCTTTTCTAGGATGTTGAGTTGTGGAACTGGATGAGAATGTATCAAGCAGCACTGGTTAAGCTGTCTAATGTGTGTGTACATGCACAGCACTGTGTGGAATGACAGTACAAGACTGAGTACTGGGAACTACTGAGCTGCATTTGTATTTCTGTCCTTGCTCTGTGCAGCACTTACTTCCTTCTAGGTGTAATGTGTGGCTATCTAGGCTTTTACCCACTCTGTCTGGTTGCTGAGAACGTGAAAGCCTCAAGAATATTAGAGCTAGAACTTTTGTAAAATATTTTAAATACTCTGGCTACTGTGTAGTGTTAGCCTGCTTGGAGCACTGACGTAAAGACAGATATGCTTGTTAAATTTGAGTACATATGTTTGCAGCATTCTGTGCCCTGTAAAGTTTAACTTCAACATTTACTAAGGAAAGGAATATTCTCTGGGCTTTTAAGCTTTTTTTTGTTCTGTTGCATTTTGTTAATGCAATTCAGCTATGGCTTGGATTTGAAAACTGGTTTGTGGTAAAACTGAGCGATGAAATTAATTCCTGTATTGTGGCTGGAGTTTACAAGGAGACAAAAGGAGAATGTGGTCTTCTTTGAAAACCCAGAGGCTTGTGGACCTGCACGTTTTCAGAGTAGCTTTACAAACAACTAGTTGTTAGGTCTGGTGGTGTGTTTATTTTGAACAAACACTTGTGATAGCCAGAAAAAACAAGGCTACGATTGGAAAATTGCCCTGGAGACCAGTCCGCTTCTAGCACTGGGAAGTTCTTTACGGCACGGTCAAACTCCCTGTGGAGGGGCCCTTCTAACAGATGAAGGCTCAGCTGTTCAGAACAGTAACACTGTAAAGAGAGCTGAAGCTTAACATATCAGTGATGAGCAGATAAATGTTTCATGAAAAGACAGCATTCAGGTAAATGTAGAACATATAAAAATTCAGCACCTGGTTGCCAGATACAGGACTTTTGTCCTATATTAATGCACAGTTACAAAAGCAAAGCCTGAGGTTTCAGAAAGAAGTACCTCTGTGCCCTCTGGAAGCAGGTGGTTAGTGAGAAGTTACGCATAACACTGCATGTTTACAGCACCCTTGTAGTTTGATTGCATGCATATTACTGGGGAGAGGCTGAGGAAAAAGCTTATCGTGTGAAAGTACAATACAAACATAGCCTGGCAGTCAGAAAACTTCCAATTTTGTTTCCTCTGAGGAGGTCAGCCTGGGCGAAAGGAGCTGAGAGTTGAGTGAGAGCTGTGGCACATCCGTGGCATGAAGAGGAAGAAAGTGACTAGAGCATTTGTTTGGTTTTTTGGTTTGTTTTTTTTTTTTCAACTCCTGCCCAATGAGTATGTTGTGTCTTAAACACGACCAGAGGTTTAGGGTGGCTGAGAGAATTCAGATCGGGCACTTTTAGTGCAGATATTTTTATGGTAAGCATCTGTGCTAGATTCTTAGATATGAAAGGTGCTTTGAACTGTGAATGCAGATTGTAGCTTGTATGAGTTCTGTCTCAATCATTTTAAAGTGCTTCCTGTTTATTCTGAGGTTGAGTAGCTACAGAAGTTGCCAAGCATCTTACTCATCTTTGGCTGCAAAACCAATACATTATTAGTAATAGTTCAAAAATGGTATCACTATGTAATAGTTTTGAGATAGACTTATAAAATAAGTCTTACCTGCTAAAATTATTTCGAGATGGTCTGGATGCTTTATGTTCTTGAATATCTGGAATGCAATGACTGGCTTCTATATTGTCAAAAACCTTGCTTTTTTACAAGGAGAAGATATAAAGAGGTGAAGAGTTTCTTTTAAAACACCCAACCTGTGGTGAAACGTAAATTGTGTGCTCACTCCCATGAGGTTATCACAGTGATTCTTTGCATGGCTGCAGTGTCCTGTGTTCACTTGGGATACATCTGTGTGGTGTGGTATTCCTGCTAGAGCTCGTACTCCTCAAGCAGGCTACTATGTAAAGTAGTGCAGCACCATGCAGAAGTACTTGTTTGTGTCTGAGTGGGATATCCCATTAATGACTGCAGCCCACAAAGGACTGCTGTGCTAGAGGTGGAGTTAAAAAGCATTTACAGAATAGTTGCTCGGGCTTCCTCCAGCTCCTGTGCTCTCTCCCACAGCTGCCAAAATGCTAAATCCTATACAATGTGCAGGAAGATAGTTTTAAGCTCTGTTGGTATGTGTGGTTGCTTCTTTTTCATCATCATGTGACCTTTCATTTTTTAACCCCTGATTCCACAGACCCTTCCTTATTTGGTAGACCATGGAGAATCCGGTCCTGTCCGATGTAATAGGTGCAAGGCTTACATGTGCCCTTTTATGCAATTCATTGAGGGTGGAAGGAGGTTCCAATGTTGTTTCTGCAGCTGTGTCACTGAGGGTAAGGTTTCTTCTGGAAATTGGTCTCTATGCTCTATTGGAGTGGTCTCTGAACAAGATGCGAGCAAATAAATCTTTATCATGTTGTGATAATTTATAATGTAAACTGTGCTTTAATATGTGTTTAGTCTTGTAAAAAAACCATAAAATATATTCAGTGGTCAGTTCTGAAATCATGTTCAAATCAAGTAAGTGCTTATGCATTGCAGAATTGTACCAACTTTTAACAGAAGTTATTTTTAGCATAATGTATGGTGGTTTGAAAAATTAGTCATGCTATTTTCTTAGGGTATTTGAAACTTATATTTTTTCTATAACAAAGATGTACATCTAGTCAGTAGTGTGAGTTAGGAGGTTTTTTTCTCACAAAGCCTGTTCGGACACTGCTTAGAGGTGAGATTGCAGCTAAATCTGCTACAGCTGAATGTGTTCAATATATGCCAGTTAATCTTAGTTGCTCTTCTAAATTAATATAAAACATGCTTCCTTTTAAGCAGAAGTCTGTATGTGCTGCTTATAGCATGACATTTATAGATTTGTTTCGAAGGCACAGTGAAATGTAAGGTACAACAAACCTTATGGTGATGTTTTGAGTGTTTCATTTGATAGCACTGGTGGCTTATAATGGGCTGTTTGTTCTTACCACCTCAGTTATGCTGTACAACTGATTGTACAAACCAAAATGGGAAGCTGACAGGGATTAAAAATGGCCAACTTTAAAAAACGTTTGTCTGGTGATTTTTCAGCCTGAATGCATTCCCTGTCCCTGCTCACTCAGCAGCTGTAGGAATGGCTGTACCTGTAACAACTGAGCAGGGGCAGCAGAGGGAGAGATGCTCAGAGACTGCTGATGAAAACAATGCTATGAAAATACAATGTAGTTGTACCTAATGTGTAAGAACTATCTCTGGTTTCTTTGCGAAAACAATCAGGTAATTAGCTATTGAGTTAGAGAGAAGAGTGATAGGTGCGTATGTATAGTCTTAATATCACTTCTGTGTTCTTTGAACTTTTCTTTTTGAACTGTCAAAACTTTGAACCTTTAGAATAATTCAAAGGTGGTGAATACTATCATTACACATAATGTCATTTTATTCTTCCCCAAAGCTATATAGGCAGCTATAGCTGAAATATATTTTGTCACTCCAGCAATCCTGCAGGAGGAACTCTGTCATGGCAATTCTTGGGGCACACGGGAAAAGCTTTCCTTGTTTCTGCAGCTGACTTCTGTAGGCAAAAGCTTAGCATAACTTCCATTTTACTTTCTGATGCCAGGTACTAGCATGGAAGTACTGAGCGCTGGGGATGTGGTTACACTTCCAGTTCCTCCTCCTTGGTGCTTTACAATCCACTGTAAGATGTAGCCTATCTATTCTGACAAAAGGATTATTGCAGTCTCTGCATGTGAGAGTGCCTAGAAGGCTTTACTCCTGTGCAGCATGGGAAGGCGAGGAAAAAGCTACTCATGTAGCAAAATAAGCCTGAATTGAGTCAGTAATGTTGTAGCCTGTAGTTTGCTTCAAACTCTATTGTAAGTCATTTGTTACTACTTACAGAAGACTGTTATATTTTTTCATTTGGACTAAATATTTCAGAAGAATTCAAAGAGCGTGTTGTGGTGACATAGAATCACAGAAGGGTTTGGGTTGGAAAGGACCTTAAGATCACCTAGTTCCAACCCCGTGCACGGACACCTCACATGTTGCCCAAGGCTCTGTCCAACCTGGGCTTGAACACCACCAGGGATGGAGCATTCACAGCTTCCTTGGGCAGACCGTTCCAGTGCCTCACCACCCTCACAGTAAAGAACTTCTTCCTTATATCTAATCTAAACTTCCCCTGTTTAAGTTTGAACCCATTACCCCTTGTCCTACCACTACAGTCCCTGGTGAAGAGTCCCTCCCCAACATCCTTGTAGGCCCCCTTCAGCTACTGGAAGGCTGCTATGAGGTCTCCCTGCAGTCTTCTCATCTCCAGGCTGAACAGCCCAAGCTTTCTCAGCCTGTCTTCATACGGGAGGTGCTCCAGCATCCCTGATACGAAACCAAAAGTGAGAATGTAAAGGAGATTCAAGAAAAGTACCGTAGTTAGTATATACTGTGTCACCTGTTGTATATGACAAACTGGAAGCAGTTTGTATTTCTTGGCTTTAATGAAGCTTTTAAATTGCAGTATTTTTAGTAATACTTGCATGCTAGCACAGAGTGCAAGCTAGCTTTCCTGGAGTTTTATTTGGAACAGCTGTTGCCATGTTAGCTTTCTAGTCACAGTGTTTATCATGGGTATGTCATTGGACTTAATGATTTTGTTTTTCCTTTCTCAGTGCCACCTCACTACTTCCAGCATTTGGATCACACTGGAAAGCGAGTAGACTTTTATGACCGGCCTGAGTTATCACTGGGGTCTTACGAGTTTTTAGCAACAGTTGACTATTGCAAGGTAGAGTACTATGTGTTTGTTACTGTATCTTGGTTTGATTCCAAATAAAAAGACTATAAGTCAGAATGGCATGAATTGTCTGGGGCTGTTTTCTAGCTGGCAGAGATAGTTAACAGCATTACTTCAGCCCACTTAATTGTGTAAAACAATGTGCTCATCTGCTTACTTCCCAAAGTAGAGGAAGTCTTGATCACACATGACATAACTTTATGGTAGCTGCTGTCATCCTCTTCTGGAGCTATATGAGCAGCTATAGCTGCTGTTACCTTAGCAGGAGGAACTTTCTTGTGGTGTTCCTTGGGGCAGAAGGAGAATGTCAGAAAGCTTCAAGAAAAGCACAAAGTAACTATGCAGTGTGCCACCTGTTGCCTAAGGCAGACTTTACCTATTGAATTTAAATTTCAAATACAGCTATAGTGGTTAAAAACACTAGAATAGTGTGGAAAGATATATTATCAGAGCTGGTTCACTTCTAAGGAATAGAAAAAATATGTGCAAAGTGTTTATTAAAGCAACTTATATCTCTGCTGAAATAAATGCTGAGAAAATAGATGTCTAGATGTTGCAACTTTATACTAGTTACCTTCGAATGCCTCACCTTTACTTACAGTTATGGGAAAAAACAATTGTCTTGCTTCTAACAGTATAGGAAGCATTTTTAATTCAAACGAGATGTAATTGTCCCAGTTTTTCTGAAAAGTCTGTTTACCTTTTGTTCTGTGTGTGCCTTCCACATGACCTGTAGACTTCAGAAAGCTGTTGACTGAAACAAGTTTCTCTTTGCCAAAGCAAACCTGATACTTAAGCAGAAGGGAAAGGTTGCAGTCCTCAAAGAGGAAAATGTTTTGCTTTATATTAATGAAATCACCTATTACAAGTCTGGTCAGAATCCTAAGTCTTGAGAACTGGCAGGAAACTTCCCTGTCTACTTTCCATATCTGGCCTAGTCATATAAATGGATGATTTAGTTATAATTAGCCTATTCTTCACTTAGCAATGACAAAATCAGTTGAGGGCCTATAATACCAGTCCATTGCAAGCACAATGTGCTTACATGTCTGTTAGTTGGGCAGGGAAGAGAATGATCTGAAGAAACAGCTACTCATGAGTAGAAAAGTACATAAAAGGTATTAGTTTTGACCAGCATTCATTTGTCCATATTACAGAGCTGTTATATGAGCTGCATTACACTGTCATAACATGTCGTCTTCCCTCTCTTCTCCAGAATAACAAGTTTCCCAGTCCACCTGCTTTCATTTTCATGATTGATGTGTCTTACAATGCTGTAAAGAGTGGCTTAGTGAGGCTAATATGTGAAGAATTAAAGTCACTCCTAGATTACCTGCCCAGGTAGGTTTATTGTGTATTACGGTAGCCGTCAAAATGGGGGAAGCTCACTTTTTCCCTTTTAAAAAAGCTAGGAATAAAAATTTTATAATCCTAACAAGCTCCTCTTCAGAAAAAGCCCAAGCAGAACATCTTTCTGGATACCATTCTAGGTGAAAATTAAGTTTTTCTTCCTTTTGTTTTTCCCTTATCCCTTCTTGTGTTAGGTTCTGTCTAATGATTTCACTGTCAACTTAGATGTGAAAGCAAGTATGTCTCTTACAGGGAAGGCAACATGGAAGAATCAGCCATTCGTGTGGGCTTTGTCACCTACAACAAAGTGTTACACTTCTACAATGTGAAAAGCTCCTTGGCACAGCCACAGATGATGGTTGTCTCAGATGTGGCAGATATGTTTGTGCCTCTCCTTGATGGTTTTCTGGTGAATGTGAATGAGTCCAGGACAGTTATTGCCAGGTAATATAATTGATTTAAAATGTGTGTAAGTAAACTTCTTGTTCGGTAGATTAAAGTGTTGCATGCTTATTTGTCATGTTATTCACCCAGAAGTCACTCCATGTATGTTAACTTCCTATACTCTTTGAGATTCAGCTAGCAAAGTAAGATAGGAAAATTCATGAGGTAAGGGTGTATTTGTCTTGCAGTCCAGATTGGCAGAAGGTGTGTATATATAAGGAGATTTAGTGCAGAAAGACATTTCTGGGAACAAAGCAAAACACAACTAGAATGATGTAGAATGAAAGTCATAAGAATACTGAATCACTGTCTTTAAGGCAACTGCCTAAATAACCATCAACTGAGACAACAGTGGTGTCCAATTTTGGTTCTGTGGAGAAGATTGGATGAGTGGGATACAGAAGATAAAATCTAGAAGGAAAGAAAGATAAATTAGCAAAGTTTTGGCAAGCTGTTTAATGTAATACTTGAACTGTAATTAAACTATGGCGTATAGCTAACTGTGTTTTGGGAACTAGACCTGGCACTGCATGTCTTTAAAAAAAAAATTTTAGCCTGTTTTGTAGTGCTTTAACAAGCATAAATACAAAACTGTGGATTAAACCTGTGAATCTTTGAATAGCACACAGGGTGCTTGGCAAACAGAGGCCAGGTGTCACTAGTCTTTCTTAGAGTTTACTTACCAATATATATTGGAATATATTAAAAGAACAGGAATCTGGAAGAGCTGCTGAAGTAGGCATCAGCTGAGGCTATACAAGCAGTGAGGATATGGATGAGAGAAGCCAATGAAGAATAATAAAGCATCATTTTTTTACAGATAAATGATGACATGCCAAATAATGTAAAAATTATGCTAATTTAGAGAAGTGTTAGGGACTTGTGTTAAAACCACCTCACTCTTGCAGACTATCACCTACAGCTGTCTGGCTTTTCCAATTAAACAGAATCTTGAATTCTTCCTTTTTCTTCTTTGCTAGTTTGCTGGATCAGATTCCAGAAATGTTTGCAGACACAAGAGAAACGGAAACCGTTTTTGCTCCTGTGATTCAAGCTGGGCTGGAGGCACTGAAGGTTAGTAAATTCATTGTCATGGCAAATTGCTTTCAGTTCAAGTACCCTGAAGTACATACTCTGCTAACACATACTAATAAGACAATTCTAAAGCTTTTTGTAAGTCTCCTTATGGTAGATGCACTACATGTAGGAAGGAATTGTCTCATTCATTCTTCAAGTGCATGTACCTCTGATTCTGTGTAGCCCTCTGTCCTCTACCCTTTTTTTTTCTTTTTTGATAAGTTTTGCTCACAGTACAAGGCATGTGGCTTACTCTGTTACGTGGCTGGGTTTTGCTTTGAATAGTTTACAGAACCTACCACAAATACCCTGACACTCCATTATGAAAAACAAGTGCTGAAGTCTGCCATGTCTCATTGAGGAGTTCTGTAACATGGTGTCTTTCTAATCCTATGCTTGAAGCTTTGGTACAATCTTAAATAAAAGGGAAGAATGCCGTCTGCTGAAGTTGCCCACAACAATCTGCTAACAAAGAAAACCTTTCCTAAAGTTCTCCATTCCAGTACTTCATCCAGATAATTACATGCATGATTTAACTGTGACTTGCATATGCTGATTGAATGGATTTCCTGTATGATTCCATCCAACCCTGTTCATATAGATCTGTTTGTCTGTCATGTAAGTCCTTAGGAGTCTCTCTTAAACTCTGTTTGCATGACAATTGTTCAGTCAAGAAATAATATAAATTATTAATTGCTTGTTTACATACTGTGTGTGTCAGAGAAAATGCCCTACTAAACATTGGCTAGTGACATAGGTTATTGATTTAAAATTAATGATCCGTTGAAGCTCCTTTGCCATTTCTGTGACTTTTCCACGAACAGTGGCTGAAAATCAGAAAAGAAAGCAGTGTAACACGTTTGCACAAAACCTTTTGTAACTTGAGTCCAGCTTACTCACTTACCTTGGAGCCAGTCCGTTTCTTCCTGCTGTGGAACTAGCACAGGTCCAGTAAACTGAAACTTGCTGTTCTGTAACTGACCACTAGGGTGTTTCCCCTTTGTTGGATACCACTGAAGTAACTAAGTGATCACTGTGCCTGTGTGTGTTAGAGAGTCTTCCTGACATAAAGAAGTGATGAGGATGCTTGAATGCTTGTTCTTGAATGAATTTCCCTTACAATCTTTATAAATGTTTTTAAACTACACTGTTAATGCTCACTTTCCTGCAGGCAGCTGAGTGTGCTGGCAAGCTCTTCATTTTCCACACCTCTCTGCCCATTGCAGAGGCCCCAGGGAAGTTAAAGAACAGGGATGATAAGAAACTGATCAACACAGATAAGGAGAAGGTAATAATGATTTGCATGGTGCTTACATAATGGTTTTATATTATACTCTTTATGAGATAAAATAATTCTGAAGCAACATTAAAAAATTACAAAGGTGGCATGTAATGTAAGCATTTCAGCTAATATCTCTTAACATTGCACTTTTGTCTTCTGTTCTCAAGCAGAGCTGTGTAGAGTTGACATCATAAGGACAGCTCCGCTATGAGGACAGGAGAGAGAGCTAGAATCTCATATGGGATAAAATACCCATAGCTGGGTTAAAGTAAATCTGCTGAACTTAGTCAAAATAAGATGTGTAGTAATTTTCATGAAATTCAACAGTTCTTCAAAGGCAGGGTCAAGAAGAATTTATATGATCCTAATTTTCCTGAAGAGCGATTTAAAGTATAAAGATATACTGACTGGGATTATTAAATGGATCTCACTTTCCTTTACTTAACACAAACTTCTAATCTCATTTCTGACTTCCTTTCTTAGACTTTGTTTCAGCCACAGACAAGCTTTTACAACAACTTGGCCAAGGATTGTGTGGCCCAGGGCTGCTGTGTGGATCTGTTCCTGTTTCCAAACCAGTATTTAGATGTGGCAACACTAGGTGTAGTCACTTACCAGACAGGAGGCTCCATTTATAAATACGCATATTTCCAGGTAAGAATGATATTAACTCAGGCTGGTATTTGAGCTAAATAAGAATTGTTTAGTTAAGAATTCTTTTTTATAGTGTGAACCATAGCAGACAAGTACTTCTTTGGAAATAAATTTTGAGATTTAAGTAGCGATTTTCTCCAAAATGATTTAGCTAGCTTTATGTCTTCACACAAAATATCTCAATAACAAAAACAACAGGAAGAAAAGCTATGCTGTTACCTTTTAGCACAATATTTTATTAGGAAGGCACTAAGCCCTGTATGATAGGTAACTTTTAGAGTAAGACTGTAAGGTACAGTATCTGGTTTTAAATTATCCTATGGTTTATGGAGCAGCTCTAATTTATGTGAGTATGAAACTTGAATTATTGCTTGTTTTCTAGCTGGAGACTGACCAGGATAGGTTCCTGAATGACTTGAGAAGAGATGTCCAGAAAGAAGTGGGATTTGATGCTGTAATGAGAGTGCGCACAAGCACAGGTGGGTGTTAGCACATACAAGTCTTAATAAATTGACCACTTCAAGCATGTCATTAGGGAAATTCAGCTTTTTCCCCTAATTTAAAACATCTTGAGACTAGGCTATGCAAAAAGGTCTGCTAAAGCTCAGAAATTCTGATGCTTTGTCAAGTCTGAGCAAAAACTGCTGAAATCTTTCAAGATAACTTAGTGTTACAAATGACAGGATTTTTCAGGGTTTTGAAGGGTGTCTGTCTTGTTCTGTTGAAAATTGTGGTTCATGTTTTCTGGTTTTGTTTTTAAGGTATTCGAGCAACTGACTTTTTTGGAGCTTTCTATATGAGCAACACCACTGATGTAGAGATGGCAGGTTTGGACTGTGATAAAACAATCACAGTGGAATTCAAACACGATGACAAACTGAGTGAAGACAGTGGTGCACTCCTTCAGGTAACAGGGGAGGCTTTCTAGGAGAAAGAAGTGAGTTGTCAATTTAGAATTGTCAACAAAACTGTGTCAAGGCAGAACCAAATCTCAGCTGTGAGTGTGCCAGTTGCGGAAGAGGATGAGGTTGCTCTGAACTGAATAATTAGACTCTCCTTCAAGGAATTGTTCATTCTTTCTTTCTGCCCCATACTGCCCTTAATCTTTCAGCATGCTTGTTCTCAGGGTGACCTAAACTGCTTCAAACTACAATCTATTTTCCAAGACCAATTCCCTTAATACAAAATGCGAACACCGCTGTTTGTTATCTTTCATTGACCCTGATTCTTAGCATATGCTTTTAGCTTATTGTGCAAGCCTTTTACATAATCTCATTTGTTTAGGCATCTGAGTCCTGTTTTTTAGTGAACTATATTCCTGCTTTTCTTATTGTAGCAGAACCTCATTTTTCTATATCCTGGCATTTTTGTCTCCTACAGTGTGCTCTGTTATATACAAGTTGTGCAGGACAGCGACGACTCCGCATTCACAACCTGTCCTTAAACTGTTGCACACAGCTTGCTGACCTCTATCGAAACTGTGAGACAGACACACTCATCAATTACTTGGCTAAATATGGTAAGGGTAAATATGGTAACAAGAATTGCAACCTTTAACTGCTGTTAAAATGCCTGTTGTCATCCAGTGATGCATGTTTATTCTTCATGCATCAAATGTCAGGTGGCAATCCTGATACTTCAGTCGTTTATGGGAAAGAGCTCAAAGATGATAGTATTGTTGCTTGGGACAAGAGGTACAGATAGAGAGTGTGGGCTTATCTTCTGTGCAAATTCTTGTCTAAATTTATTTTAATAGAGGTTTGTATTGACAGTTGTCTAAATTAATCCTTGTATTTATTTTTGGACTGTTTTAGTTTGTTCTTGAACTGTTCTTTCATAAACAATAGTTGTTTAGATTTACTTTGTGAAAGTAGTGTTGGGTTTTTTACTGTTCATGAGCAATCACTTGATAGCCATCCATCTCTTTCCTCTTTCTATGCAGCATATCGTGGAGTTCTGAGTAGTCCAGTAAAGACTGTACGAGATGCACTGATCAACCAGTGTGCCCAGATCCTAGCTTGCTATAGAAAGAACTGTGCTAGTCCCTCTTCTGCTGGCCAGGTAAACTCCAATGCTTTAAGTTGAATCACAGGCTTGGATATTAAAAAGTGATGAGAGCTCCTTCCTACTTAGCCTACTCAAAATTGCTTTGCTTAGCAGAAACTTGCAAGGAGAAGATTCAGGGAAGTAGAGAGAGACTGCAAGTAAAACTGTAGTTGAGAATAGTTTATTGGACATCTGTCTGGAGCCCAGGAAGCACTTCCTGCTCCAGGGAAAAGTTTTAAGTTACCTTTGCAAGTCCATGATATAATTAGACTGCCAACTTTCACTCCGCGCAGCTGTACCACACACTGTTGGTTCATGCAAGCCTCATTTTGTTAGACATAAGCTTATTCAGCAAGACAGCTGACCAACTTCTGTCTGCTTGTAACTTGTAGCTGATCCTCCCTGAATGCATGAAGCTGCTTCCTGTATACTTGAATTGTGTCTTGAAGAGCGACGTCCTTCAGCCTGGTCTAGAGGTCACCACAGATGACCGTGCCTACATTCGTCAGTTAGTCACATCCATGGATGTGGCTGAAACAAATGTTTTCTTTTATCCTAGGCTTTTGCCCCTGGTGAGTAATTCAGTATGTTCTTGCCACTTGAGACTTACTGTTTTCTTGACTTGCCATAAGGACTGGCATTTATATTTTATCAAGTGAAAGCGATTTGAGAAGGATTTGGGATCTGCCATCTGTTGGTATACTTAATTCCACTCAGTGATAGATGCATTACTGCAACTTGTGAATTTTCTGGGGGATTTTTTTTCCTGAGCTGTGAGCATGAGACTTGTGGCAAAGAAGACACTTTTGACCCTTTCACAGTCTTAAAAATCCTAAAGCTTCTTGTAACTGTATGTAGTAGTTTTCATCTCTGCAGAGCAACTCCATGCACTGTTCTGGCTTCTCAGTACCATAACTGCTGGAATAACACTAACAACTAATTACATTCCTACTCCAGGAGGCAATATTGGAACTAGTGACCTTACAGATGCCTTATGTTCTCTTTTGCTTGTCTCTGATCTGCTTCTGTGTCACATTCAGTAACAAAACTAAGCTAAGGAACATGATATTTCAGTCACAGCTATTGCAGTCTTCCAAATTCTAGAAATGAGAAAACCATTTGGGTCTTAACAGCAGAAATTTTCAGGAACTTGTAAGATATTTTTGTGTTATAACCTTGATTTTTATTTTTTTATTTCATTCTAAAACAGACCAAAGCAGATGTTGACAGTGACTCCTTGCCAGCAGCAATCCGGAACTCAGAGGAACGTCTCTCCAAGGGTGACATATACCTGCTGGAGAACGGGCTGAACATCTTTGTGTGGGTGGGAGTCAATGTGCAGCAAGGCCTGATCCAGAACCTCTTTGGAGTGTCATCCTTCAGTCAGATTAGCAATGGCTTGGTGAGTTGGATGTCAGTGCAGGCGCTAGCATCTGTGAGAGTTGCCCCAAACTTGAAACAACGAGAAAGCAAGTGGAGAAAGCAGTGCTTAATTTTTTCATACTGGGAATAAGAGAAGCATAGGTGTGGGAAACTAGTGGAAATGCCCCTAGTCTGCGAATGACAAGCATTCTCTTGCCTAGCTTTATTTGACAAGGCACATCTCCAGTGATTGAGGAGAACAGTTGATATGTAAATAGATATGTTAATTCTGATATCCTGTTACATTCTCCTTTAACCAGTTGTGGTCAAAGAGATTGTATGTTAGTGGGAGTAGATGTATCTTATGTAATATGACAAAAGTGCAGTTTTGTTTAATGTTGCTCTACTTCACGTGACTAATAGGGATTGGATATCTTTCATTCCAGAGTACCCTGCCTGTCTTGGAAAATCCCTTCTCAAAGAAAGTACGATCTATTATCGACATGCTTCAAATGCAGAGATCCCGCTACATGAAGGTAAAAATGTTGTTCCCCATTTGTAGCTTTAAATGCCTGGTAATGCTGAGTGCTGAATTTTATTCTTCCTGATCTCAGAAATATGATCCAAACATAAAGTTGTCAAGGATCTGAAAAAAAAAAACCCAAACAAACCGGGGGGGGGGAAAAACAAACCCAAACCCCAAACTGTTACTAGGTTTGGAGTTCTGTGCTTACCATAGTTCTAAAGCTAATTTTTTTCAGACTTATAATATACCACTGCACAAACCATGTATGTAGTATCTTCCTTCTATTTAGAAAGGATTGAGACTTAACCTGGTTTATTTACAGAAGTCAAATCACATAATCAGAATCACAGCGTATATAGCTTATCTGTCTGGTTTTTTGAGCTACTTGAATTTTTGCTCTTGTTTATCAAGAACATTAATTTTGCTAACTACTCACTGTTGGTTTTGTTCTTGTTTTTTGTAGTTAATAATTGTGAAGCAAGAAGATAAGCTGGAAATGCTGTTCAAACACTTCCTAGTGGAGGACAAGAGCCTGAGTGGGGGGGCTTCATATGTGGACTTCCTGTGTCACATGCACAAGGAGATTCGGCAACTACTGAGCTAGAGGAGGGAGTGGTGCTGGAACTCGGCAGTGACATTTCAGTCTCCACTAATGACCTGATCAGAAGGTCCAGCGCCCTCAAAAAGGACAGCATAGAAATCTGTACAATTCCATAATTTTTAATACACATTGCATAAGCAGAAATCCTTTCAACCTCTGCCAGTCCCGTATGAGAGATGACAAATTTTCCTGGTGAGGGCTAAAAAAAAAAACAAAAGGCCTTTGATACCAGGTCTTTTACTTGCATCTAAATTGTTTCCTGTGCTTGGCAGGAGTTCACCCCCCCCCACCCCATGCTCGCTAATCCTGTCGTAATGAATGTAGGTTTTTTTTCAGTTCACTGTACATGATTCAACATTGGGTGAAAAAGCGATAACTCTTCAAAACTTCTGGTAGTTGCTGTGTGTTTGTATGGGTGCGTGTGCATGCTCCGAGTGTGGAGAGAGGATGCAGGTGGGGAGGATGAGAGGCAGGTCAGGTGATGGGAGCTGGAGCAGCCAAACATTTTGTGTGTCCTCTTAAGAAGGAAACATGATGTTGCAGAGCACAGATATATCATGTGGCTGTCTGAACCAGAAAGCCGTGAAAAAGGAAATGAGCAGTAAGCCAGGAGGCAGCCGGGCAAATTTCTTTCCACAATCTTCCCCATACGATAGGTTGCTGTGCCGATCTGTAATGGAGTAAGTAGTAGTTCAGTGAGCAACAATCAACAGCTTCTGAACAGTGTAAGGGTAGAGCTAGTGCTTCCTGTTGGCACGTGTAGTGACTCCTTTCCTTTTCCTTCTCATTGCACGGCTCTGTAAATGTTCTACTCAATCCATGTTCCATGGTCTCTCCTCCAGAGCTTGCCTGTCTATCCAGATGGTGGTGGGAACAAAAGCCTCTTAACCATAAGCAGAAAATGCTTTTAACAAGGTTATATGGGGCTGTGTAGGAACTGGATGATAAGGAAGTGGCCATTTTCAACCATATTATTGTGAATCATAGCAAACAAGTAGGAATTTTATTTATACTGATGCAAATTTGAGACTGCTTTGTACCCTGGAACACAAAGAAGGAGATAAACCCCCCTAAGACTTAGACTGTACTGTAGTAGGTATTACAAGTACCTGATTTCGGTTACTGAAAGCATCTGGGCCATAGTGAAGAGTTTCATTACTGGACGTTTATACCCTCCCCCATTCTATCTACTGATCAGCTTGCACAAAACCTTTTTATAAGCCTGTTTGTTAAACTAAAATACCTCAAACAGATTAATCCATCCACTTTGGCCACTCTGCTGCTCCATCCTGCAAGGGTGGAAGAGAAGACTCCTGCGAAGAGGGAGCGGGTGTAAATCAAATTCAGAATTCTAAGGGCTTTGTTTATTCATTTTGAAAGGGGGCTTGTATATTTTGGCTCGACTGCTTAACAAGCATTCTTACCATACCCAGGAGTTTAAGCTACAAATAGCACTAAAAGTGGAAGGAAGAATGTGGGTGGATTAGAGAACATGTTATCTGGGGTCGATATTTCAGAGAAAGTCCTTGTTAAGATCAGAAAAATATCTGGCTGTGGTTTTAGTTCCATATCCTGTAGCATGTATATAAAAATCCATTTTATTTCTAATGCTGCTAGTTTGTCTTCCCTTCCATCGCTACACAGAAAGGGGAATATGAAACTTGTAATGGAGTTGACAGAACCTTCAGCGTTTTTGTATGAATGTGGCTGACGTTTTACTCCACGTACTGCCTCCACCCAAAAAATCTAGAGGATTTTTAACCAGAGGGGGAAAAGAACTTCCCAGGAATATAAGGCGCAGCAACCACAGACTTCCACAAATACTAATTTCTAGTATTAATACCAGGGGGTGTGGGGGTGGAAATGAAATCATAAATGAACCTTTTGTTTTCTTCACTTGTTTTTCCAATGCATCTTTTAATTTGTAAAGAAATAAAAATATATTAAGATGTATTTTATGTCATTGTTAGTAAATAAACACTGCTTATTTTTCCAAACCCTGTATTTTGCGGGAGGGAGGAAGTGGGAAGGGCTGAAGTCCAGCTCATTGATCCTTTACAGCTGATCGTCTGCTGACCAACTTCAGTTTTCTTTTTTTCTTATTCACACCGAATGGTAAGAAATTCAACCAGAGTCAACAGGCAAAAGGTGCTGTTTAATCTCAGTGTTACTTTGCTTAGATGTGGCTGGTTTTTAACTTTTTGTCACTTCTGAGCTTTCATTTTGCGAAGAGATTTCCCTTTTCTCTAGCACAGCTTGAGTCTGACTTGAGGGCTTTTTGGTCTATTTGGGCAGGTATTACTCTTACCTTCTGTGTTGGAGAACTAGAGTTCGGCTTTCAGAGTTAAGATAGCAGGGAAGCTGGGTGGATTTTTGGGTTTTGTTTTGGGGCTTTTTCTTCGTTAGTGGGGGGTTGGTTTTTGTTTGGTGGGTGTCTGTTTTTTTAGGAGGTGGGGGGTGCTAATTGCCAAAACAATGTTGAGTGAACTGGCACTGTAACTTAACTAGAACACTGATACTGTACGATTTGCTGATAACCTTACCAGAAGCTGTATGAAAGCACAAGACAATCATTACTAAATATCCAACTATACTTGTTTGCTGTAGAATATTTATGAGATTTTTCTCCTACAGGCTGTACATAATGTCCAGAATCTGCTACTGAACTGATTTACTGTGATAATGATGGTCCCTGTGCATCTTGTATGTTAAGTGTGTGGAGTAAACTGTGCTTGTGGGCATTTTTGTGGCAGCACTCCTTCCGAGGGGTGTGGAAACTGCCTTGCAGAGCCCATGTCTGTCAGCGTTCTGTCGGGATGTAAGTGGAGGAGCTGGTGGGGATGGCACGGGGGTAGTGTCTTTCTGCACTGACTGGTGTGCTTCTGCATCATGCCTGAGCCATGTCAAGACCTAACTTTTCAAAGAAAAGCAAAAACATTCCCCTGTTTTAACCTGTTTCTTATACAGCTAGAGACTACTTCTTTGCTTATGTTCATACTGATGTCCCGTGTTACGAATTACCAGTCAAGTATTGTGCTTGGGCTTAAGTTACCTCTAGAGGAATGAATCTGAAGCTTTTTAGCAATTCCATAACCGAGTGGTAATTCTAGCACACTTCTGTTGGATGTTTATAGTGTATCCTAAACTCAGGGTTGCAGGTTATCAATTTCATATTTCCAGAGTATTTTAATGCCAGAGGCGTTTGTTCAAGGCTGGAACAGAAGCGCAGCTTCAGCGGTGCATTAAACCTACCTCTGGATAGTTAAAAAACAAGTATTACTTGAAGGCGTTCCCTCCCTCGGCGTACTTCCTTGCACCATCGAAACGCCTGTTTTGTACCGAAGATGCCTCTTTGCGGATGTAGTTGCTCTCGGCGTGCTCTGCCCCGGGTGTCTCCCTGTAGGTGCAGCCAATTCCTGGTGCAGGTGCGTTACAGGCAGCTGGAAGTAAGACTCCCCCAGCGCTGCAGCGCTGACAGCCCTGGGTGGCGTGTCCCA